ATATATACCACATATATACATAAGCTATGAAATGTAACTTGTTTAATTTTGGTGATTCTGCATGAGTTCTCTGCTCTTCTAGTTGCATTTAAAACTGGAATGGTGTACTATAAAGAGGAATAAAATTAATGCTAATGATTTAGAATTTAAATTTTTCGTTACTTAGGACAGCACTAAGTAGCAAGTAAAAGCCCACAACAAGATGTGAGTGAGACCATGGAAGAAAGGGAGAACATTTTAGTACTTTTAATGGTACTATTTTCCTAATTTTTGGACACGAGGCCCCCCATCTTTGTTTGGCACCGGGTCCTGCACTCAGGTAGCCAGCCCAGCTCTTCACTGCTCTCCTTACCTTTGCGGAGCCCCCTCCTTCTCTATTCTATAGCTTTTTGAGGACTGCCAGTGATATGAAGGGCAGTGCTGCACTCCGGTTCCTCTGCGGCTGTTCCTGTGAAAACTAGCACAGGGCCAGGACTGACTCCAAAGGGATTCAGGCGATGCATCGGCACGAGAGGCTGGCTTGCGTAGTAGACGGTGACCCGCCTGCTCAATCCCCTTCTACCTTTGACTGGTCTTGGACCAGCAGCCACATGCTGGACTCACTGATCTGGTGCTGTTGGCTCTCCCTTTCATTTGATCAGTTCTGGCAGAAAAATTCTTCTAATAGACTAAACTTGAGCTGTTATCCTTGATAGCTTGGTCCCTCTTTGTCCCTTTCTGCCACTCCATGAATTGCTGAGAGCTGGGAGTAGGCAGGGCAGGTGGAAAGCTCTTGTCAACAGTGGTTTCATAAGAACTCTTTATGCGGAGTCCTGTAAAACAATGCTTGGGAGTTTGTTTTTTGTTTTTAAATGGTTCAAGTAGAGAATTACCGCCTTTAAAAAAAAAAAAAAACTAAGATAATTTTGGCAATGTATAAAACATCACACTGCAAAACTGGAAACAACAAATTTTATAGGAAACTGAAAAGGACCAGTGAGAATTATGAAAAATAAAAAGAACATACACAATTGTACCTTCAAGAATTTCCATGGAACATTATGACCCATCAAATTAAGGTATCCACATTCTGTAACAAAAATGAACTGATCTGAGTAAGGGCAGCATGAAAATATTCTAATGCAGTGCTGCCCAACAGAACTTTCTGTGATGATGGAAATGTTCCATTATCTCTGTTGTTGAATACAGAAGCTATTAGCCACATGAATACTCACAATGTGGCTAATGCAATTGACAAACTGAGTTTTTAATTTATACAGCCACCTGTGGCTAGTGATTACCAACTGAACAGCACAGTTCTAATGCCTCATGGGTCAAAATCAGTGGTTTCTTCGGGGGATTTCTCTGATCACTGCTGAGGGGTGTAGATGGTTGGGGGTGGAAAGAGAGGAAGCTCTTAGCAGCTCTATTTAACTACTTAAACAAGTTCTGAAACTCTCCACAGCTTTCAGAGGCAAGGGCTGAGGAAAGGACTCTAGGGGAGACCTGAGTATGCCCTTGAACTCCTGGCTAATGCCAACGGGAGTAAAAGGCCTAGGATTTGGCTCACGCAGATGGGAAGAGGCCTATGGTGCCACTCACAGAATCTGGGGCTTGGGCCATCTGTGCATGGAAATCGTTGCTATAGGGCTGGCGGGGAGGTAGGGGTGCTCATTTCCGGACAGGGTTTCCAGGGCTAGAAGAGGATTTAGAGGTGGAGGGAGGACCCGGGGGCCCTTTCTGGCCAGCTGCAGGCTGGACTGGCCCTTTCTTTTTGGGGATTAAGGTCTTGTTCTTGCTCTTGAACACTCTGCTGGGATCCAGCTTGTTCACGAAGCAGTTGGTCTCTTCTGCAAGTAGGTCTGTGTTGTAGGTGATGGGTTTATACATGTTGAACCACTGCTGTAAGGGAGAATTGGGAGAGGTCACAATTCGAAGGAGAAAGGCGACTGTTTATGCTCTTTAGTGGGGACCCAGAAGTAGAGAGGTGGGGAGATGAGGCAAAGAGAACAAAAGTTTTTATGAAAAACTGCCTCAAAAATCTGTTAGCACTTCCTTTAGGTGAAAGTGATGGCACACACATTGCTTTATTAGGTCTCATAACCTTTAAAATAAATTCAGCACAAGGACTAAGAATGCGAGTAAACTTCCTTCCTTCTGATCTAGTGAGCCTGAGCATGGGGATTAGGTCCCAGATCATCAGTGGCCTTCTAACTGTTCTGTCCTCACAGCAGCCACTGCCCATCAGGTTGATATGTCAGCACCTTCCCAGAGAAGGTGCATTGACAGAGGCCAGCGGCAGGCCTTGGCTGAGGGAAGCTGCCGGCGCTGGTGCTCTCTTCCCCTTCTGGGCAAAGAGCATCATATTTATTGACCTCACGATGTTTACTGGATGGATGTTAGGTGATATTTGGGCAAAGTGAGGCCCACCAGATGAATACATACATGGAGCTGAGTCCCTAGTTCACTGCCACCCCAGCCAAAGTTCTTCCAGGCACACCTGGTCTCAAACTAGGGGGTATATGAGCATTTCCAGGCAACTCTATGTTTGAAATATTGCCCAGATCTGTAACATAAACAAGGCACATCCATACAGTGGAATATTCTGTATCACTAAAAAGGACAATTCTGTATGTACTGATAGGGAATGAACCCCAAGATGGAGTGTTAGTGAAAAGAAGGTGCATAACGATGTGAGAAGTATAGTGCGCTTGTGATTTAGGAAAAAAGGAACCAAAAATCATATGCATGCATGCTTTCTATGCAGTAAAGTACCCTGCAAAAAGCACAAGAAAAATGCAAACAGTGGCTGCCTCTGGGGGAGGCTGGAGAGCCTGGGAATCAGACTGACTTTCCACTCTTCCTGTGTGCACGCACTGCCTATCTAAAACCAACACTCAGACCTAAGCCCCAAATAAAATTTAATTAGAAAGAAAACTCCCAGGTGATTCTGAGGATCAGCCAAGTTTGGGAACCACTTAGTTCAGTATTAAGTGAGGCTATCCATCCACCTACACTGGCACCATCTGCCTTGCTTAATGAAAATGCAGGTTCCTGGGCTCCATCCCAGGTCTTCTGAATGGGACGGGGAAGTTGGGACTCTGCAACTGAAGCATTTCCTCAGAGATTGTGATCAGCCCACAGTTTGAGACGGCATGTGTTTCTCCCTTACCTTGGCCTGTGGGCTGATGCCGTAGCTGGTGAAGGCGTATTGCCACTGCGGCAGGCCCAGGTGCGTGATGAGCAGGCGATAGTAAGCAGTGAAGGAATCGGTGAGGAAATGCCAGTATAACGCTCTGTCCAGGAACCAGATCTCGGCGTCTTGCGCTAACGCTGAAATGGCAAATGAACGGAAGAAATGAACGGATGGCACAATACTTTTCTCCTTCTACCTGTAAAGTCGATATACTCTCATGGTTAAAAAGAAGAAATTCTAATAGTGGAAGGATGTAAAATACAAGTAAGAGTTCCTTTTTACCCCTTCCAACCTCCAGGCCCATGCTCCCGTGGCCACTGTTAGGGGTTTTATTGGTCTTGTACAAATCCCTGATCAGTCAGCCGACTGACTTGTGCGCTGGGCGTTGGGCATCTGTGCATTCAGGCTGACCATTCAACAGCCTCCTGCCCCAGTGGGGACAGACTGGGTCTCAGCTTTCCTGATGGAGACAGACGCTGAAAGCCTCTGATTTTTTTTTTTTTTTTTTAAGATTTTATGTATTTGAGAGAGCCTGAGTGAGAGAGCACAAGCAGGGGGAGCAGCAGAGGGAGAGGGAGAAGCAGGCTCCCCACTGAGCAGGGAGCCCGATGCGGGGCTCGATCCCAAGACCCTGGGATCATGACCTGAGCCGAAGATA